GATAAATGTACTAAAATATCAGTTCCAAAATTAGCCCATAAAGAAGTCTGATATATTTCAGCAAATTGACAAATGGATTATTTTAGTGTCTTCAAAGGTTTTCTCACACCTTATTACGTTTGCATTATGTAACGAATATGTCCACAGTGGGGAGCTGGTCCACATACACATTGCCTCTTAATCCTTTTTACTTCCCTTCCCACCTCCTGCCTCCATCCCTTGTTCCCCTTCCCATCGCAGAAGGTCTCCCTCCGTTAGAAACAGATGGATTTACATAGGGCAAAAATGCGTGAAGCCTGAAATAAAACGGGCAGAACGTGGTGCTTAAAGACTGGGAGAAGACGATGAAGTGTCAGATGGAGCGAAAAACGGATGAGCTCCACCCGATTCCCAGTGTTACTGTCAGGGAGACCAAGGAGGGAGCTGCGGCCTAGACCTGGAGAAAGTGTAGCTGGTAGGGCCTGGGATGTCGGATGGAGGGAATATTTAGTCACCCAGGTTGGGCAAGGGTCTCAGTCCAAACAAGGCCAAAGATGGTGGAGATAATAACTCAGTATTTATTGAGCAGCTGCTATGTATCAGAGGGTTGTCAGCAGTTCACCAGAACCATCTCCTCTTATCCTCACAACTGCTGCATGAGGAGCTGCCGTTTATCCCAGCTGCACAGAGGGAGAAATGGAAGAAGACGCTGTGACGGACCTATACTCTCCAAGCTGGGAGGACAGCCAGAGGGCAGGCAGTAAGGAAACTCAATACACTAAGGCTTCAAGTGATTCCACAGACAGTTAAACAGTCTAAGGTCCAGGACAAGTTTCTTACACGATCTAAATGCTGCCAAACACAGAACGTTGGTGAGAGTTCTTGGGGAAGTGGGAAATCTGAGTGCCTTTTACGTGTTGTTCATAAGGAAATAAGTAACATACAGTATCCAAACTAAATTTATATGGCAAGAGGTGCAAAGTGGTGAACGCTGACCAGGACAAACAAAGGCTCTGGCACTGGACCTAGTCTGAAAGAGGTTATTGGGGCAACCTATGGTCAGAGCTGCTAAAATGTAACTTGCCAAAGTTTGGAAGCTTCATTTCAGGCCCTTTCAGCGGCTCTTCTGATAATTCATCCTTCTCCACGGTGGCAGTGTCAGGTTAGGCAACAAGAAACAAAAAAAGTCCAGGAAACCATTCATTCAAAAAGTAAACATTTATTGAGCACATAGTATATCTCAGGTGTATTTCAGTCTGCAATATGATAAAGCTTGCCAGGCCTTATGAAAACATGTACTATGACCAGAAGACACACACAATATACAAATGAACAAATTTAATTGTAGGTAGTGATTAAATGTAATGAAGAAAGATGAAGCAGGCTAAGGGCAGGCATATGCAGGAGGGTGAGTGAAAGCCTTTCAGGGGAGCTGACTTTAGAACTGTAATTAAAGAAGAACAAGAGCAAGCGATGGAAATATGAGGAAAAAGACTGGCAAGTTGAGAAGCTGGCAAGTGCAAAGGTCCTAGGGTGGGACTGTGCTAGGCATAGTCAAGGAAGAGCACAAAGGAAACAAGGCCGATTGCACAGGGCTTTGTAACCATGGTAGGGGTGTTAATTTTCCTAGGTTTGATGGAAAATCACTGCAAGCTTCTGAGGGAAAGTGGCTTAATTTGGGGCAAGAGGAAAGGTCAGAGGGTTGAAGGCGGCCACATCAAGTGGTGCTGATGGGGGATGGGAGGAGGCTGGGCTCAGAAAGGTCTGCCTGCGAGCTGCAGGCTTTGCTGATGAACTGGATGAGGGGCCTGAGAGACAGAGGTCAAGAACAACCCCAAGTTTCTTCCAGAGCAAATGAATGGCCCTGGGACTTATCTGGGGGAGGGCTGTATTTAAAGGATAAATGCAGCAGTTTATTTCCTGACACATGAAGTTTCAGGTGTCTGTTAAGATATCCATTGGAGGTGCATGCAGACTGTTGGAAAAACCAGCCTGGAGTTCAGGCAGAAATTATGGAAAACATGCGAGGCCATTCCTTATGGACAGAAAAATCTCCATTCTACCAGCACGCGTTCACTCGGCTGGTATTTACTGAGCACCTATGCTGTGCGTCAGGCACCGGGCTGGGTTCTGGGGTGGGGAGCACGGCACGGGTTTGGACAGAGACTTCATTATCATTTGCTTTGTTTCCTGGTTTCTGAGACACTTCTCTGGGTACTGTGAAATATATAGAATCAACTCTCAAACGTTATAAATACTGCGATGTTCTCTGACTCAGCAATCTGGAAGAGCTTAGATTTTTCGGAAAGAGCTAAGTATAGACTTGGACAAATGTCAGATTTACTCAACAAAACATCGGAAGACGACCTGAAGATGCATCAGGAGAGAATGCCTCCGCCAAATTGATGTTTACGGAGAGCCAAGCGGTGTAACGGAAAAGCATAGGGGGCTGGAAGGCAGAAGTTCCGCACTTCAGCCTGTGCCTCGGGATCAGGCACAGGCCTGACCTTGGCCGGGACCTCTGCGCATCTGTGCTTTGCTGCGCTCCTCAAGACTGCGCCGCTGGATCCCATGTCTTCCAAAGTGTTTTCAACTGCTGTTTTTTTTTCCTCTTTGCATTACAGTATTTACGCTTCTGGACTCTAAACATTATGAAGAAATGAAAGCCCAAACTCACAAGGGGATCCTTCTGGTGGGCTTATTTTTCAAAGCTAAAAAAAAAGTTTTTTAAAAAATGATTTTTAGGGCTGGGGATTTAGCTCAGCGGCAAAAGCGCCTGCCTGGCAAGCGCAACGTCGTGAGTTCGGTTCCCGGTACCGGAGAAAAACAAAAACAAAAACAAAAAAAAAAAAAAAAAGATTTTTATGCATTTGGAAAGTGCTTGGGGTTTTTTTTTCTCTTTTTTTTTTGCCGATTGTAAAAATGATACATGATCCATATCAATGGGGAAAAGTGCAGAGAAAGAAGCCTCTATGGAAGATTACAAGAGAACTACGCTCGCTTTCACGTCACCTATGGGCATGTGCTGGATGAATGATTACTGTTAGTATCTTGCTAGCATCATTTTTAGTCCTCAGACCAAAAAATGAGAAGAAGTAGCAGAAGCAGAAGTGGAAGAAGAAAAGAAAGAAGAAAGGCGGAGGAGGGGAAGTGAGCGGGAGAGTAGGAGAACAGAAATCCTCCTTCTGGGGCTTGTTCAGTCTGTAAAGCAGAAGAGTTCAGTGAAGTCAGCAGAAACTGAAACTGCCAGGGCAATATCATATGGGATCTCTTAGATGACATGTTTCACAACAACAGCTGCTGATATCTACGCAGTGTATTGGGAAACCACCTCATATGCCCCATTCTGGTGGTCATAAGTAATAAGGGCGGCTCACTTTGAGCAACACCGAGAGAGGCTGCAAACAGTCCAAGGCTCTAGCAGGAGCGGCTCCCGCAGCAGTGGGAGGGCGAGTGCCAACTCCTTCCTCCCACACTTGGGCCCTCCCCTCCCCCCAGCACCGGGAGGAGCTTTTCTGGGGCAAATGAACTCAACACTTTTTATTGGCAATCTGGTGTCCTCCGGAGGGCCAACACCCAACTAGGTAAACTAAGGTTTTCTGATTGCTTCTGAGAATGAACTGAAGCCAGGTCCTGCCTACAGACCCAGGTTACCACCCCCAAAATGGAATGAATCGCTAATGTGGAATAACTGGAACATTCAACATGTAGATCTGAACTGTCAGAACCTCCTGGGAAATTGTGAGACAGGCACTACTGGGTCCTTATGCCATGCAGCACTCAGCCGGAGTTGAGGGGCACATGTTCTCCGGTTCTTGGTAACCCGTGTCTGGAGCCCATCACACCACCACCTGCTTTTCATTTATCTGACTTGCTAGCTCTAACTATGTAAGGCATGGGGTGAGAGCGCTAAGCGCCAAGAACTGCGCAAATCCCCGGGGACACACGTCAGGTGCAACACAGCCCGCGCCTTGGAAGAGTTCACAATCCAGTAGGGGAAGAGAGGTATGAACTACTACACTGCAGTGTGTGGGCATGGCAAGGGCAGCACAGAAAGCACGAACGTGGCTGAGTAGAGGAAATGGACATGGCTGACCCACTGTGCCCTGCCAGAAGGACATGTTAGAGCTGGGTTTTGAAGGACGACTAAGGGTTCACCAGGCAGGTGGAGTGGTGAGGAATACCGGGAGCAGTATTAGAAGTGTATGTGAGGTCTTCTTCTGGTGATTAGCTCCCTTCTGCACAAATGAGCCTGTCCAGCCAGTAAATACCTTTCTCCCGACTGACACTGTCTATGAGTCTCTGCCTATGTCATCCCGTTCCTCTCTGCATCAAAACAATGGAGAAGTTCACCTCCACAGGCAAGAGCCTGCCTCATTACTCACCTGCAGTTGCCTCAACGAAGGCTGCCCTCCCATTTTGGGGTAATTGGTTACCTAACTGTGATTCTGTTATTGAAGTGCTTTGTTTTCTTTTGGAAGCTCTGGCATTTGAAGAATAGACCAGCATTCTACACAATTAATCAGTAAGTATCCGATCAAATACCTACCCTGTGTAGCGAACTGTCCCAGTCATCCACCACTGGGACCCCAGCAACCAATAGTCCAAGTGAGAAAAAAGAAATAAATTAAGAAAATACAATTCAGAAAACATTAAGTGCCTAATATTCATAAGTTTGTTTTTTAAAAAAAAAACTCCATCCATCCAGTACGATGTGCTAAGCACTGTGTCTGACACCTGGAAATCATGCCAGATACAATGCACATACAAGTTAGCAGGCAATGCAGACAATAAACTCATTACACTAAGTTTCCTGCCAGAGCAAAAGTACAGTAACTACTTAAAGACAGGAAAGCTGACTACGCCCAGGGACACTGGGTGTGTATAGGAAGGTAAGCTTGCACTGCTTTTTTGTTTTTCACTTTTTATTTGTTTATTTATTTTTTAATTTTTTTTTTTTTCCAGTGCCAGGGATCGAACTCACGACCTTGTGCTTGCCGGGCTGGTGCTGTGCCGCTGAGCTAAATCCCCAGCCCCAAGTTTTTCACTTTTTATGAAAGCATTTTTTCAATATACACAAAAACATAAAGTACAACGTATCTCCACCCGATTACCTGGCTTCAACATTTGGTAAGTCATGGTTACCTCTGATTCTTCCCTACTCTCACTTGCTTTCCCCATCCCTTTTCAAGTAAGTCCTAGACATTTTTATCATTCAATCTATACACTGAGCAGTGTTAAGAAGGAACTGGAATGTGTGGCTCTTTCATTAGTAACTTCCTTCCCCCAGCCTAGTCTTCTGCCCTGAAAGCACTTAACGCTGGTTCCCACAGGACTCCTAACCCTGAACAAAACTTTGCGGGAACCTTTCGAGTTGGCTAATTAAGGCTGAGCTGATCCAGTGAAAAGCTGCATCCTGCAGTTCGTTTGGAAGGCTGACCAGTCTTCTGGTCCTCATAAAACAGCTCATTCCTTGGTGGCTTACTAAGTTCCTAAAGTTTGCACAAAATGGTAGCTACCTTCTACAGTCCTCTGTGCTTTTAGAACCTCGGGAGAAACTTCACAAGTGTAACGTTCGCCCTATAGGCTGAGCCCGCTCAGAGGTGTTGCCTGTCACAGCCCGGATCTTCAAAGGGTTGAGAGGCCGGTCCTATCTGAACATCTGGCCTTTCTAGCTCCCACCCCGTGCGCACCTCCTATCCCTGTCCATCCAGGCGGCTGGTCATCCGAGAGCATCAGGACTCCCTCTCACAATTGTAAAGTGCTGCACTACTGTCCACCTCCCTCAGCACCCTTTCATCCAGGCCCCTAATATTCCTTTCTCTCAAGCACTACAATATCCAGGTATCTAACTGCCTTTAGCACCCCACCCGAGTCCCTTCTCCCGCGGCGGCTTGGTGAACCCTTCCTTGGCTCCTGAAGCCCCCGGGAGCGAGACCCTCCTAACCACAGCCCAGGGGGCGCCAAGTTCAAGGCGTCCCGCGTGTTTCTCCAGCGCCACCAGCACGCTCTGTGCAGGGTCTGCTCTCCCCGGCCTCTGTGCTCTCACCCGGGGAAGCTGCACCCACAGATCCCCTGCTCACAGATCTCACAAGCGTCCACGCCATCAAGAAGTCCTCGTCCTCCTTTCGGAGATGGAAACGGGATGGGCACCTCACCCAAGGCCAAACTATCAGTAAGTGGAACAGCAAAGAACCGGATTCAAACTCGCGGCTCCGGAGGCGGCGAGCCGAACAGCGGAGTCCCAGCCTAGAGCACACCCTTCTCGGTTGCCGTGGTCAAGGGCAGGGCCGCCGCTCCGCGCCCCAACAGGCAGCCCCGGGGGAAGAAGGCTTCTGATTGGTCGCCTCCAGGGTCGAAAGGGCGGGGCGCGGGGGCGTCGCGGGGAGATGACGCAACGCCACGACTCCTTAAAGACACCAGCGCCGCGCGCCGCGGATGGCGCAAGCGCGTTCCGGGGGCTCCGACTTCGTTTCTGAGCGTTGCGAGCCGGGCCGGGAGGGCGGGCGCGCGCGTGCCGAGTGTGTGGAGAGCGCGCGCGCCGGGGACGCGGGCGGTTCGAGGGGACGCGGACCCGGCCGCCTCCCGAGCCCGACCGGCTGCGGAGGAGCGGGCGCCGCGATGGCCGAGGGCAGCGCCGTGTCCGACCCTCAGCACGCCGCGCGCCTGCTGCGAGCGCTCAGCTCTTTCCGCGAGGAGTCCCGCTTCTGCGACGCGCACCTGGTCCTCGACGGGGAGGAGATCCCGGTGCAGAAGAACATCCTGGCGGCGGCCAGCCCGTACATCAGGTGAGAGGGGCCGCGGCCGGGCGAGTCCGTCCCGGAGCCCCGG